GCTTGTTAGGGGTAACCTTCCTGAATGCAGCCAACAGATATGAAGGTGTTGTGAGGGGTAACATTCTTGCAGAGCCCTTTGAAGGTGAGGTGACAAGGTTACTGAGATGGCTAGGGTTGGGTGGTAGTGGAGAATGAGGGGTAAATCAGAATGGGAAAGTGGCTTTCACAGAGTCCCACAACCAACCTCAGTCTCCATGCGTGTACTCACAGACATGCACGAAGCCCTCCCTATGGAGACCACGGCTGCTTGAAACACAAGAATCCTGGCATGACTTTCTCTTGTGATGTCGCTCACATCACACATGGGAGGGCTTGGAGCCCAAGTCTCTCAGGTTCAGAATAAGCACCAATGATTAAGAGTCTCCTAAAATCTAAGAAAGTTGGGAGGTAAACCTCTGTTACCTTGGTTTGTGTGTGTACAAAATCTTCTAGAAAGTAGTAGTTTGTAGGTAACTAATATTTCCTCTGCAAAGAAGTCATCCGTTAATGCTGAGATGGAAATTCTGGATACGTTTTTAACAATGGATTACAACGTCCGGGTTAGGATGGCAACTCACGAAACTATGGCATCTCTCAGTGTGGCAAGAATGAAGGTTCCTTCTCAGGGTGTCCGCGTCTACTCTTACCTCAGCAGCTTCCGAGTGACAGTGAAGGCAGGGTGACTTACTGCATGTCTGGGTCCGTCTTGACTCTCCCCAGGTACACATGCTTTTCTCCCACGTAGTCCTCCCTTCATCACTTTAATGCTTAACTAACATCTGTTCATTTCATCCAGAAGGCAGCTGAGATCATGTGATGGTGAAAACATTGCCTAATTCTTGTTGGTGTTGATTTTTACTCTTGGAAGTTTCTAGAAATTGAAGTCAAAGCCAGGAAGAAAGGAGGTGTCTGGTTGTTATTCTCCATATTTGTGCCCTCCGCACACTTACTTTGACCTCCTACCTAATCAGGACAGACCGCAAAGCAAATGTACCTTTCTCTCATGCTCTGCCTGTTTCTTGCAGAGTCTGGCCACTGCACACAGGGGAGGGCCGGGTCACACAATCCCAAACAAAAACATAACTGTCACCATATACCTTTGAGGTTGTATAACCTCATACCATGTCTTCCTGTGAGGGAGGTGGGGACAGGAACATCAATGCCACATTGCAGAGAAAATGGGGACCTGAGTGAAGATGGATTGCATAAATCCTAGTCACTTGACGGAGAGCCTCCATGATCCTGGCACCCTCTCATTGATGTCCAAAGCACCCCAAAGCTACTCTATACAGAGGGCATCTAGCCTGACAGGAAAGGGCCCTTTCCCCGAGTGCTCTGCTCACTGCTCACAGCTTGCTTCATCCATCTCCCCACTGACCACAAGTAGCTACAGGAACCTTTGCCATGAGGATGCAGAGGTGACTTCAGCTGACATGCTGAACTCTTGACAGGTGGTGTGGATGGGTGAGGTGGAGCAAAATTCACTGCTTACCAATGTAGCTGCAGATGCTGCTAATCAGAACGATTATACTCTTGATCTCTTAAGCTTGTGGCTTACCATTTAAAAATCTGGAATCCTGTCTTTGACCCAAACCTACTAAGATGTATAAGCAAATGTGTGGACAGAAATAAGAAAAACCATCAGAATTTCTGAGGAATGTAGTTTGAAAAGTATAAACACTATGGAAATAATTGGGAAGGAGCTAATATGTTAAGTTCGCACTAAGAAGATGAAGATGCTTGGGAGACGAATGCACTTGGAGGAAGGAAGATTGAGGTGGTGTGTGTGCATGGTGGGCTTCAGGATGTGGCTGGCTGAGCAGTGTGTAGATGCTCCCACACTCACTGCTGCTCCAGACAGTCAGTTTCCTTCACACCAGACCCATGCTCTAAGCAACTGCTGCTGCTTCTCCAAGATTTGAGGGAACTCCTCTGTCATCAACAGGGACAGTCCTGCTGACCTGTCAGCCTGAGCCTATCAGACAGCACATGGCAGCTTCTGTCCCTTTGGGTGTCCTGGAGCTGTGGTCAGAATCCTTCACATGGTAACTGACCTCGCTGGGAGAAAGCAGCTGAACCTCAAAGGACCACTGGCTTCCAGCTATTTGGAGATGAGGGAGGGCTGGCACAATCTGGTTATACTTCCAATTGTAGAAGTCTAGATCACACCCCTCTTTCTGCCCACTCTACTCTGCCATCAAAAGTTTTGAGCAAAGCTGGGTGTGATGGTGCCTCTAATCCTAGCACTCAGAGGCTGAGGAAGGAGGACTGGAAATTTGAGGCTAGCCTATACTACACAGTGAAATTCTGTGTCAAGAGAGGTTTGCTCTGAACCAGACAGCTGTTCCCAAGGCAGAGAGTTCTATGGTTACAGGCACTTGGGCCGTGCGTCCACAATATCATGGTATTTCCAGAGATCTCTCATCCTGGAGTCCTGGGGTTAGGTGTGCAGTGAATACACAGAGGCAAGAGATTTTAATTAGGGTGGTGCAAACAGTGCTTGTTCAATATGCTAATAAAAAGCAAAAATCAAGATGTGAGGCAGGGGGTTAGAGAGATAGCTCAGCAGTTAAGCATACTGGCTGTTCTTCCAGAGGACTTGGGTTTGGTTTCCAGTACCCACATGACAACTCACAACTGTAACTCCAGTTCCAAGGAATCTGATGCCCTCTTCTGGCCTCCATAGACATTGTGTGCGTGGGTGCACTTGTAAACATGCAGGCAAAACAATCATACACGTAGAAATAAAACAGTTTTAAAAATATCAAGATGGAGCAAACCGGGACAGACACCCCAAGAGACAGGATCTATCCCACGCATTTGGTCACAATTTGGCCATTTCCATAAAGGCCAGATACTACTTTGCAGGTAACTCGTGTGTGTGTGTGTGTGTGTGTGTGTGTGTGTGTGTGTGTGTTTGAGGAAGCCTTAGATGCAATTTGTATTTTTTTCTAACAATTTACTTCTTGTTGGATACGTCAGGGTAGTTTGGAGTTGAAAACATGGGCACGTCCTTGTCAACAAAACTCTCATTTTTCGGTCTACAAGTCGACTGCTTTCTAGACCATTCTAAGGTGGAGACAAAAGCATGGAAGCAATCTTTCTGGAGATAGTTGTCTTCACAACAAGCTCAGTAGGAGCAGGTGGAGATGGCCAGGGACGTACATGGAAAATACGCTTGTTTCCCAGTGCATTCTCCCTCCTGGTCCTGCTCAACAGAAGTGCTTTTGCTTCTGAGTGCCCACCCAAGGTCATCATGGCAGGGTTCATGTCAGCCTGAAGGTGTGAGGAAGGGACTCTGAACTGACCACACTCTCGTCACCCTAGTTGCTGGTGGCATCTCTAGGAGCAGAGGTGTGCTGTCACAGGACAGCTACAGTTCTTCACTAAAACCGTCTATTAGGTGTACTGAGAAGGAGCACATGAGAGCTCCACAGGCCAACCCTTCTGAAAGCACTGGAATAAACCAGCTCGAGGAGCAGCATACAGTCAGGAGCAGCACTGTTTATCTTTGCATGGATGATGCATTGTGAACATGGCTTATCTCATTCCAGGGTGTCACCCGCATGAAAACTGAAGGCATTGCACTTAATAGGGACCGAACAGCTGACACTTCATCATTCTAGCAGCAGGTGTTTGCTTGGCCATTAGCTAATAATCTTTGGAACTAGTGAACAAGACAAGAGGTGGAGACGTGCTCTTCCCTTCCAGGTGGGGGCCGCCTTGCAACCTAGAGCAGGCAGGTTGCTCAGCTGGGGAAGTTCAGACTTTTGGGGAATGTCAGATGAAGAAAACAAGAATAGAAAATGTAATTAACTGGAATCCAGTGGATACTTTGCTCAAGTTGGGTCATGGAATTTTGGATCAATGACAAGCAATGACTGCTAATGCTATCATTTGTTTCTGTGTATTTGTGTAAGTTTGAGGAAATGCGATGAAAGGCTATAGATGTCAACACGAGGGCGGGCTGCAGAGACGTCTGCACCCTGTGTTTCCCTCTGTGGGACGTCTGCCAGCTCTGCAGGTCTCCCATCACTTCTAAATAGTTCCTCTACGATACATTGCTTTCAAAGTCTGAAATACCAATGCTACAACACACTTGCTTTTTAACACAGTGGTGTGTACAGGAGGAACATGATTATTATACACTATTCAAGATTTACATATTTATTTAGGTAGAAAAACACTCTGGGGAAATAGGATTCAGTTATAGAAGAATATTTCAGGGATTTTTTTTTTTTGCATTTTTCAAGGATATACATTCGTATTATTTTTGCTTCCAAATATACTTTAAGGCTGTTTGGTAAAATATATACCAGATACGAGGCTCAATTTACAGGGTTTTGTTCTTATAGGGAATTCTTAACTACTCAGCTTTAAAAAAGTAAAACTTTGAAGCGTGACATGCTGTCATATCAACCGTGCTCCCCCATGCGTAGTGGAATGTGGAGGATGAGGAGAGGCCGGTACAGTCTTAGCAATGCCCTAGCTGCGTGGCTGCCTCTCTGGGCACCCATGCAGCAACTCAGTTGGGCTGCAGAGGGGAGGGGGACTTGGTTTAAAGTGCGAGTCACAGGGAGGACACAGAGTGCTACAGGGCCATGAAAGCTTTCTGCCTATGGCTAAGCACATGGTGGTCCTTAAAGCAGCAAGAAGGGGGACCTGGAACAGGGTCGGCCCTGCCTGGACTTGAGGAATACAGACCTCGGAGGTCGGGGTGTGGGCAATCCTGCCGCCCTCTTCTGGACGTCTGAACTGCCATGCAGGAGTCTGGTTGCAAGAGATCTCCGAGTGTAAATCTAATTTACACAAGCCTGTTAATCAGAGCTGATCTTCCCTTTCTCAGCACCCTCAGAGTCATGGATACTGGTTACCTTTCATCAGTTTCATGGCTGGAAATCACCATGCATGACCTTTCTTCCCCTTCATGTCTAACACAGGCAAGGAATATATTCTTAACTTCAGCTGTACTGCATAGGACAAAAGAATTCTGTAAAAATACAAGTGTAAACTACTTTTCTTCTTTACCATTTTAACTGAGATGTACTTACCACTCACATTCATACTCATACTGTTTACAGCACCACAACTGTCATTTTAAACAAGCAAACTTCTTTTTAAAGGACACCCTGGAAAGTCACCTGATAGCAGTTGGAGAATGTATACAGTACATATAAAAACTACATGTAGCTTAAGCAGTGAAATTTAAAGAAAATGCTCTGTGAAATGTTTTAAGTTACAAAGGGATAAAAATGCTATGACTATTCCTTAATCTTTTTTCTCTTTATTCTCTACGCTCCTGCCAGCCTGTTCCATGTATCACTCTCTTGGGGGACCATTCCACTTAGTTTGAATGTGAAGATGCTTTGCTGGATATTTTGGGGGCTCAGAACCACGCTGTGGGGAGCTTGGAGAGACCTTTTTCTATTGCCACAAACTCAACCCAGAAGCCTATTACTTCCTGCGGTGGGCTAGGATGAGGACCTCTGGCAGCGCAGGGGAGAGTGGCTCGGGTGAAGCAGATGGGTCTGTCTGTTTCTCCTACCCTTTCGGTTACAGCACCTTCCACGTGAGTGCCTAATGCCTCTCCAGAGTGGGGAGCTGCACCCATTTGTAGTGACCTCTAGTTACCACACGATTTATAAAAATATAAATAACAAAGTGAAAGCTGGGTTCCATCTCCAGAGGTGACTCAGGGCCCTCTGAACAGGGAGGTAAGTCAGGCCTCACCAAGCCTGTCCTGCAGGGCGCCCTCATTCGTGGTCAGTCTTGCCACGTGCTCAGCAAATGAAGAATCGGAGCGTCCACTGTCTACAGTGCAGAGAACACGGTGAGGGCGAATCTGTGGAGGGTGAGACAGAAACTACCGGGTAGGCAATAAACTGTACAAGCATTTTGTGGAAAAGAACAAAACCAGGCGTGTGGCCACCTCTTGCCCTCAGAGCCGCGTCTGGGCCTCGGGGATGTAGATCTCGATGCTGTCTGCCCTCTCGGTGGCAGAGTTCTGTCGGAAGGAGGCAGCTCTCTTGGCAGCCATGAGCCGGCGCCGGGCTTCCTGGCGCTGTCGGTCAGGCAGGTCCAGGGACTTTTCCCTTGTGATGGGGAACTTCCCCTTGGGGGGCTTCTTTGGTATCGGAGGGGGGACCTTCCTTTCTTCCTGAAAAGCATCATAAGTCAGAGGAGGTCAGGGGAGGTCATGGAGGTGCAGAGGAGGTCTAGGGATGGTCACAGGGAAGTCAGGGGACAGGTCAGAGGGGAGAGAGGTCCAAAGGGGGTTATGGGGAGGACTGGGAGGGCTCTGAGGGGAGGTCAGGGGAGGTCATAGGGAGGACACAGGGGAATGTATTCACATATCTCTTTTCTCCTCTGAAATAGGCATCTGTGAGAAATGAAGGTTCCTCGTGAGTTCCCTTTGCAAGGGGCCTCATGCCTACAGGAGAGCTGTAGAGGAGATCACACAAGGGCTTTGCAGAGCTTGGAACCATCTCCAGAAATGCTCAGAAAGACAGGCCCTTTGGGGTGTGGACCCACGGCTCTGTAAAAGAGCTGCTTGTCTGCACTGGGGTGGGGAGTCCTGAGTCAGGGTCTGTTTTCACCGAGAACCTGTTTTCTGTGTGCAGTGTGGGAAGATGGGCCAAGGGAATGAGTACCAAGGGATGATCACCTGCATCTGGGCTCTGTTGGGGAGCTCTACTTTTGGTTCCATTAGAGCTACGCCATCCTGACTTGTCTCAGTCATGTCCTGGGTGATGTGGACTGGCTTTTGTTTCCTGTGGGGCTTTCATGTACCCTGTGTGTTCCCACACTCCTGTTATCTGATAGGAGGGATCTGTCCACAGCCTTCAGTTCCATCTATGGCTGTCGGATGATGGCCTCAAACCCCGCCCATCACCAGACAAGGGGTAGCACACTGACTTTTATTCCAATCACTTCATCCTTGCCTACACATTAAATATTACCTCTCCAAAGTATGCTGGGTCCATTTTCCTTATAATTTTATTTCATTTTTGTGCTGGATAGCTTTAGTGTCAACTTGACACACCTGGGTTGAGGGAGCCTCAATCGGGAAATTGCCTCTATTGGACTGGCCTGTGGCCATGTCTGAGGGGCATCTTCTTGATGAGTGGTGTGGGAGGGCCCAGCCCACTGTGGGTGGTGCCACCCCTGGGCAGGTGGGCCTGTGTTGCATAAGAAAGCAGGCTGAGCAGGAGCCGAGGGAGCAAGCCTGTA